TAGGATAGGAAGTTAGAAAGACAGACTGCGGGCGGAAGAGGACCTGGCCAAAGAGAATAGAAGGATCAGACAGAAGTTCATTATGTAGACCGGGAAAGTGAACTCCACATGTATTTTTCAGGTCTCAAAACCTCATCAATGGGAAGCCTAAATTCCCCAAGCCCGTGGCTGGTGATTGTATTGCACTGACTGGAGACTGGAAAAGCTTATGCAGCTGGGAGGCATTTGATATTTGCTTATCTGAGGAATTTCTGATATCCTCAATGAGTGAGAGCAGCTAACATGGATCTTGATTGAGAAAGAGATTTGGACCCCAAGGCACAGAGCAAACTCTCTTCTGCACTGTCCAATAGAACTTTCTGCAATGATGGAAATGTTCTGTATCTCCACTGTCCAGTAGAGTCACATATTGCTACTGAGCACTTGACATGTGGTTTGTGTGACTACAGAACTGAAATTTTTATTTTATTTAAGTTAAATTTAAATAACTACATGTGGTTAGTGGCTCGCATGTTGGACCTTGCAGCTCTAGGTGTCGGGAAAGGCTGAAAACTACACTGTCTCATAAATTCCTGGCAACAAATTCAAAGAATCTATACTTCATGAAGTCTGCGTAAATGTAACACTTTCCTGTTTCTTTAGACATTCCAAATTACAAGGGAAGGTGATCTTATGAACAGTCTTTTATGAGATCAAACCAGGAGCACATTACGGGAGAACTGCTATATCTGTCTGTCTTTAGGTTTCATTCCACCAGCTCTACCCTAGCAGAAGTAACCACTGCACAGTGATACTGAAGCAGGCACAACATAACCTGGGCATTATATGCCATCACCATTAAATCCAGCTTTAAACTTTAAACTTACTGGAAAAGAAAACACAAACTTTACTCACCCTTTTCCTGTTGAGGGTCAAATTCAGGTCTTAAATTCCATTTACACAATACTGAGGCACCTAGTACAGAGATGAGCATCTAGTAGGAAAGACCATTATGCAAAAAATATATCCATCCATCCAATCATTCACCTGTCTCTCCAACCACCCATCCACGCACCCATCTTCCCACCTATCCATTTATCTTTCCATCTATCCACCCCTCTATTCACTGACTCACAAAGAATAGCTTTCCTCTTATATACCTAAATAATGAGAGCCTAATAGAGAGGGATAGATAAGAAGCAGGTGACTGAATGATGCATTTTAAGAGTATGCTTTCAGAAAAGTTCCCCCCAAAATGGGGAAGATTAATAATAATGAGAAGAAAAAAAAGTATGCATAAATTAACCATAATTTTAATAAATATTTATTGACCACTCACTTGGTACAAGGAAGCATGTGAGGCACTGTGGAAGATATAAGAAATCTGTCCTTGACTTTCTTAATAATATACTTGAAAAATTAAAGCAATGAATAGATGAGGCTAAAAAAAGACAAATGAGTGAAATATTTCAAAACAGCAAGGTGAAAGATGTCGTAAGATAATTCACATCTCAGATAAGAAGTCTCACCTTTAGAAGGGGGTTAGGAAATGTGGGCTAGAATGGTCCAACTTAGGGCTTTAAGGGGGAGGCTTGAGCCAGATTCCAAAGGATAGGCAAAATGACAGATTTTTTAAAAGCCATAAATTTTAACACCTGGAAGAATCTCTGAAATAATCTAGTGCAACTCTATTATTTTATAGATAATTCAACTAAGGTCAGAGAGTTACTGACTTGGTCTGACTCCCTCTTACGGGTAGTAATGGCGGAAAAAAATCCAAAAGTGCAGGGCCCATCCCAAGCCACGTATCACATGGGCTGGGAAGCAGAGTGTTCTATTTAGGAAAGGGCAAAGCATTCTGGAGAATGAGCGTGACACAATATAAGCAAGGATGCAGAGCCAAGAACTCAGTGTAACCACTGTGTATGAGGGCATCAGTGTGTATGCAAAGGGAAGAAAGCATGAAAGGAGAGGGAGGGCAGGGACCTATCTGAAGGAGTTTGAATGCAAATCTGCAATTGGGTGGCTGTGCAAAAGCCAGGATTCTGGTTTCTGGGACTGTCTTGAAGTCTCCCTTTAACACAGTGGCATCAGTATGAACTTTTCTGCAAAAAATTTATCTTTTTAATGTTAACAAAGACTCAAATTTACTTGGGGAAATGGGGGGATGCAGAAGGGAGATTGGGAAGAGTGCTGGCATTGCTGGTCAACCTACAGGGAGCAGGGATGGATGATTATTGCTGTGCCTGTTGACACCTTAAAAGCCCTGATTGAGTAGATTTAGGATGGGGCTAAGAATCTGTATATTTTTAAAGCTCCTCAATGATCGTGATGATCAGACAGTTTGGAGGGTCTTCTGGATCACTCTTTTACCAATCTAGCCCTACAGACTACCGCTTTGGAAAACTCTTTGACAATATTTACTAAGTATATGCCCCTTATGATCTAGCAATTCCACTCCCAGACATGCCCAAGAGAAATAAATACTTACAGATGTTAAAAGGCATATATAAGAATATCCAGAGAAGGTTATTATCAATCCCAAATTGGAAACAACCCAATGCCTATTGGCATTGGTTAGCATGGATAAATAAATTGAGGTGTATTCATAAAATGGAATGCTACATGGCGATTCAAAAGTAGAAACCATTGCTACATACACCAAGATGGATGATTGTCACAAACATAATGAGAAGCATAACAAGTATAATCTGGCAAAAGTAATCTATGGTAATTGAACTCAGAATAGTGATTGCCTCTTTATGGGGGTGGGCATTGCCTGGGAAGGAGCATGAAAGAAACTCCTAGAGTGCTGCAACTGTTCCATACCTCCATCTGGGTCGTGGTTATGTTGTTACACAGACATGTGTAAAAATATATTAAACTGTACACTTACGGGTTCAGTGTATTGTATATAGATAACGCCTTATTGCCTTATTGAGAAGAAATAGATATTGTATATGTGTGGAGAGAGAGATATATATATTTGCCCTGCCAACCTCACGAGGTTGTTATAAGGTGCCAACATCTCCTAAAAATGAGATAAATAGATAAGTATAGTCTTACATTGTTTAAGTAGCTCAATGCCTATTCTTGTTGAAATTGGTTAGATGCACTACCTATGGTTCAGGTGATCCATCAGCCTTTTTAAGCCTTAGCAAAACCCAAAAAGTTAGTTATATGAAAGTTCATAGTAATTTCTGGACTTGGGAAGGACATGCAGTAACTATCAACTCACTGAGAACACAGTAGAGCTGACAAAGCATGCAACTCGGCTTTTGAAAGTGCCTTTTTGCTGATGGTGAATTTGGTCCGCTTCGAAACTCTGCCGAGGGGTTCTGTGCAGCTGCATCTTTACACCCCACGTCCTCACTTTCCTCTCTGCTCCCACTCCCCGCCCCCACCAGCAAAAGAGTAAACACCATCTGTACTACTGCTCTCACAGCCCCGGAAACAAAAATCTCATCTTCTCATCAAGAAAATTCCCCTCATCCTGAGGAGCCCTCAGCCACTGGTAACAAGCCCCAGACCTCCTGCCAGCTCCAAAGTTTGCCTGCCCTGAATCAACAGTCGGAACTGCTTGTGGGCAAATGTTCAGGGTCACAGAAGGCTGGATGTGAGGAGCGGGAATGGAGAGACCATGCCCAGCCGGTACGATGTGCAAACCTCATTTCCGGGCTGTTAGTTTTCACCCTTTGAAAAATGTCGTGTGTGCTGAGCAGTGTACTTCAGGCAGCTAAGTATAAACACATGTCTACAAATACTGATAACACTATCTTATTTGTCCATTACTCAACAAAGCCAGATCACCTGGGGACTGTTTGTTCCTCTACAAAATGAGAATCCAACACCACATGTATTACAATGTGGGACATTTTCTTTAGAGCATAAATTTTCAAGAGCTGCTTCTATGCCTTTCTTGGTACACTTTCAAATGCCTGTGTATCTTTAAAACCATAACATACTGTTGATTCACAAATAAAAATTTATTGTCTTTGGTTCACTGTACCAATTTTTCTTAATTTGACCATCTGGTCTATGATGTGTCTGGAGTCTATTCATTACTGTGTCCAGCTTCTGGAGCTCAGAAGTACATAAGATACATTCAGCAACCTGTGTGAATAGCCTGCAGGTACTTCCTGACTGGTTAATTCAAGCAGGTGTTCAAAAAATGAATACGAATTTTTAAGAATGAATAAATATAAATTGTTGACCAATAGGTTCACACAAGAAATGCAGTTCACAAATATGCATATTTACCAGAGTAAAACATTGTACCGACTCTCCTCAACCACCAGCCCAAAAACACTCCAAAGGCACTGTATATGGAAGTATAGTACCAAAGATATTAAAATTCAAAATCAATCTTGAATGGAGATTTCTCAAGAAAAAAAATCCAATAATGCTTGATTTCACTTAAGAGGTTCTTAGAAAAAACAGCACACAAACTGTTTGGTTACAGACAACCTAGTGTCAACAGTAAAAATAAAGTTAACAAAATCAGCTGTGAGAAAAGTTAGCTGGGGAAAATGAATTTCAGGGAAATGGCACTTAATTTCTCCTGTTGGTCATTTCTGAAAGAATATTTTGAACTAGAAGTACAGTGTGGCCTTTTTGTTCTCTGAAGACTTTGAATTGCTTCTAAGTAACATTTGCCTGAGGTTTAAACTCTATTAGTTGTGATTTTTCTTCCTCCCTGGTCAATTAAGTTCACAGGGAGGGAGAAGTTAGGAAAAATCCATGCTAAATCCATCTGTCCCCAGAAAATGTACCCCCATCTTACACTAAGATTTTTTTCTCACTTGCCCGATTTTTTGCCTGCCATCCATTCACTGTTCTTTCTTAAACCAGCACGTCAAACTCCAGAAGTAACCCTCGGAACAAAAACATGCCTGAAAGAGAATCTGAGTTTGAGTGAAACGTCCCTTTGTGCAAACAGCTCCGTCTGTCCCAACGTGGTAGCTCACTCACTGAGGCACCTGCCACCCTAAGAAAGAATGTAACTGTCCTCCAGGACTTACCTGTCTGCTGAGAGGGCCGTGAGTGTGAAGACCGACACCCCCACTGAGGTAAGCTGTATAAAGGGGATCAGCTTGCAGCCAATCCTGCCAAACAGCCATCTGTCGGCCAGGTACCTGCTGGCATCCACGGGAGCACACGTTACCAGGAGGAGCAGGTCTCCCAAAGCCAGGCTGGAGATGAACAGGTTTGGTACATTTCGCATGGACTTCACGGTACAAAAGATCTTGATCAGGGTGATGTTGCCAATGAGGCCTATCAGAATGATGACTCCATAAACTGCAGGGATGACATAGAGGATGCCCCGGTGGAACCAGTCCTCGCTCATGGGGAGATCCACACTGTGGTTGGAGATGTTGCAGGGCATGGTCTGAAGGAAGCAATCATTTAGAGCCATCCTCTAGATTCTTTCTTTCCCACCTAAAAAGTGTCCTGAGATGCTGTTTCTGAACTTTTGATTTTGCAGTTGGGTGAAGATGAGGACACAATCTCTGCTGGGCTCTTTGTCTTCTTTAATAAAAATACTCTGAGTACACAGCAGACTATGGCATTCCAAACTGTCTGTCACTATTTGGATGCTGGTGCTGCTCTGGTCTTAAAATGACCAGTGCCATACATTTCTAAGTTCAGCGAAGAAAAGGTTTAGAATTAAACCCACTCTGTATCAACTCTTTCTACCTCCATTCCAGTCTGAGTCTCCGTCGCTGCAGTTAACTAAGAACTTTGGGTCTGCTATTTTCACGCTGCATTTCCTGTCTTTCCTGATACTTAGAACCTGAAGGTTTAAAGTGGGCAGAAAAAAACTGCACTGAGAAAGCCTCAAATCCTATAGGCAGGATGCTTTGCACGTCACTGGCTTCACTAGCAAACGGCAGCTGTGCTGAACTGAGGTTCTGAAGAGGACCCAGGGCTACTTATAGACAGAGAATGCCAGCCCCCTGCTGGACACTTCAATCACTGCCCAGTCGCCTGCTCTGCTCCAGCAGACTGGGGCTCCTGCGCCCACAGGGCTTTTTAACAGATACCTTTGGCTTCTCATTTAAGAGGCAGCGCCTATGGTAGGTATTTAATAAATGTTGCTAGCACTGTGCAAAGCCTCAGGAAATATTTCTGATGCTATGTTCATGAATCCAGATGGAACTCACATCCCATTCTCTCGTCTTTTCCAGTACATTAGAATGGCGTGTTAGGTAAGGTTGCTATAAAATGAGGTCTGTCTCTGAATTCAATGCACACAGATACACAAGGTGTCCATATGTGAGCTTGTCCTGCTCAGCCTTCCCACTGCCTCTTTGAGTGGGGATACTACTGCAGAAAAATAGGCACAGGGCTCATGCCTTAAACCTTCAGCAACTGACTTCTAGGAAAACCAGAAGCAGGTTACACATGCTATTTCCTGCAGGTTTCCCAGGCCGTTCTCATTCCCTCTACCAGGAGAAGTTAAAGTAGGAGCCAGCTGTATTCTTAACTCTCACAGATCTTTGCCAGAAAAATGGGCCTTTTCTCCTTGGATTTAAAAATGACATGCATTGTCATTTTGAGGCAGTTATTTGCATTTTTTAGTGAATGCTTGCCATGTTTTATAGCAACTTTCCTCTCAAGCCCTGAGTAGGAAAATGAACTGTAAAGGAGTTACAGGTAGACTATTGAGGAATTAGGCTGTAGAAAGAAATAACTTAGAGTGAACAGGGTGCCAGGAAATGCTTTGCTGAGGAGGTAGTATTAGATTGAAGCTTACAGCTTTAGCCAACAAGTTATAAGCACATTACAAATGTGTATCCACAAGACTTACGCGTGGAGCTAGCTCGACCGCAGGAACATCACAGAAAGCCGGTTACTACCAGGTGTTGCCACTGAAGGTTTGTTTTCTTCAGGATCAATAGGAATAAAGAAGCTTGCACTTATCACCATGTCAGGGCCCAGCAAGAAAGCCTCCAACTGTGTTGTCATGGAAATTTTCAGTGGAGGTTACAATTCTGAGATGGTCGCCATGCTCCTTCCATAAATCCAAAGGGTGTGCGCTCTCAGCCAGCAGCAGAGAGTTTGATGCCGCGTGCCTGGAGGGGAAGAGCTTCTCCGTGGAGATTGGCATTACCAGTAATGAGTCAATAACGATGAGCCTAGTGGTCGCCGTTAGTTGCCACAAGTACATCTCCCCCCCTCCCAATTTGATTTCATCTTTATTGTACTATTGTATTTTTTCCATTACCATTTATCCCCCTTATACTCTCCTCCCCCGAGCAGTCACCACACTGCTGTCCACGTTCATGAGCCCTTAAGTATATCTTAATGCAGTATGTACATTCTGTGCTTACGTCCTGGCTCCCTCATTTATTACCTTGGTAAGTTACTGCGTGTCCTAAGCATCAAGCTCTTTATCTGTAAAGTGGGAATAATTTAAGACTTCGCAATATTTGCCACATAGTAAGTGCTCAATTAATATTAGCGGCTACTACTATAACTACTATTATTGTTGCGACTGAGAGACATTTTTATTTTTATTTAGTCATTTTTTTTACAAGATTTTATTATTTATTTTTTGAGAGAGGGGAAGGGAGGGAGAAAGAGAGGGAGAGAAACATCGATGTGAGAGAAACGTCAGTCAGTTCCCTCTCACATGTGCCCTGACTAGGAGTCAAACGAGCGACCCTTCACTTTGTAGGACAGTGCCCAACCAACTGAGCTGTGCCAGTCAGGGCTATTTTTCATTCTATTTTTTATTGTGATTTTACTTTAGAAAAGCCCAATAAAGTCAGAAGAGCACTTGAACTCGGAAAAATAGGCAAAAGGTCCTACTGATACACGTAAATCAGCAACTCCTCCATTTACTGCAAAGACATTTATCGAACATCCGCCACTGAGAAAGAGTTTGAGAAAAATAACATGAAGATACATGTTATTATAAGACAACTACCCAACTCATAGTCAGAGAACTTGGTTTCAAAAAATAACACAAGGAAGGTTTCCACGTAGGTTCTGCAAATGCTTCTCTTTGTTCTATCCCAGATTAATAATTGTGCTTCTCGAAATTTCTCTGATAGTTTTCTTCTCTGATCATTTGCCTTTCTTCTTATCAATGATAATGATTGCTTCTGGCATTGTTTTTATTGTCATCATTATTGGAGGGATAGCCTTGTATGAATCATGTTAAAACTCAGAAGAATTTACCACCCTCAGACCAGAAGAATTAGGGAAGCATCGGACTGCCCAACGTCATCCTGAGAATTTTGAAACAGAGGCAGCACCTGGCTATACTATTATATTAAACCTGATATCTTTGGGCCTTTTAACCTTCTGAAAGTTCCTTGAGTATTATTCAAATAGAAATAAACTCTGGCGTCTTTTTTAACAAAGTCACGATTTAGACCCCATTCCCTCCTAGGATGAAGCAACCTTCTTTTCTCTGGAGAAGGTGACATTTGATCTTAAAGGTTAAGTGCTTGGCAGGACCTTTGAATGGAGAAAACAGAATGTTCTTAGGGCACAGGCATAAAGAAAAGAGCATGGCATTGAGCAGGGGACTGCCGCACGCCCAGAGAGGCCATCGAGATTAGGAGAGACAGGGTAGGAAAGAGCAGCGTGCAATGCAGCTACAGGCAGATTTGGGTGAGATTGTGATGGATGTTGTTTTTGTGTTAAGTTCGGCCCAGAGGCCACATTTTCAGTTCACAGACAGGACTTTAGGATGTTGTTTCCAGTTATTTCTTTAGATACCCTTCTACACTGAGTCAGCCTCACTTCTTAAATCCAACTGGGCCGTTCGTTTTTCTTCCCATGTAAGTTAAGCTGATACTGATAGATATTGATTTGTCAGGACTGGTAGCCTTATGTGTTCCAGAGCCTTACAGACATGTTTTAAGTGAAGATATTTTAGGAGTGAAGATATATTGAGGTTCAACACCTAGTATTTTCTGGGAGTAAAGATGTTTCAAAAAACTAATTACAGAATTTTGATGTCATTTCAACTAATTGGCTATAATGGCTCTTTCCCTCCCTACCACTATGTATCACCTTCCAGTAGATCACCAAACATTTAGACATTTGCTTAGCTTTTTATTTAATGGTGAGCATGAGCTGCCTTTGACTTATGCAAATGACATAGAACAAATCTAATACAAATTCCCTGTCCTCAGGGGCCCCAGTTTCTGAATAGAATCGGAATGTCACTCAGCATCCTCTCTTATGTTTCAGGGCAGGAATGTTGCTCCTCATTTTATTTCAGTTAAGCAAGTCACATTTTCCATTCTTCCACAAAGGTGGATTTTCTGTGGGACTTGAATATGAGGGGGCAGTGACTTGGTAGAACGTGGGAGGGTAAGGGAATGTGACAGGACCAAAGAGAGTAAAGTCTCTTCCCACCAGCTCTGTGCATGGCACTGTGGCTTCCAGTAGTTGGTGTTCTTGCTTGAGTGCCAATGACAATACACAGGCATGATACATTATTATAGAATGGGCACAATTTGAGGTGGAACCAGAGTAAAGAGAAAGGGATTTTCTGGGTCTGTCTGAGAGACAGTCTGCCTGGAACAAAGGTTTGAAGGGGAGTAATAAATAGAAATAAATGAGTTTAGATGTGCAGGGGAAAACTTTACATTAAGGTTTCAGTTGCACTTGAGCCGATAAGACACTGACTCTGAAAAAATCATCAAGATCACTTGTGCTTCTTAAAAATACAAATCGGGAGGTCCTGTCCCAGACCTCCTGAATCAGAATCTCCAGGGTTCGAACCCAAGAATCAGTATTTTTCACGGGGTCCCCAAGGGGATTCCAGCACTCTTGTGAGGTAGGGACCAGTGATGCAGACAGTATGCCATCCAGAGGTCATGACAACGTGACAGTGTTTTTCCTTCTGTGGAGGGTGAGACTGAACAAGGAAGCACATTCGGGAAATTGTTGCTATGAGCCCTTTCTCTCCAAGCGTGGTCCTTGAGCCAGCAGCACGGGCATTACTTGGGAGCTTGTTAGAAATACGGAATCTCAGGCCCCAGCGCCGACCTTCTAAATTATAATCTGCATTTTAACAAGGTCCCCAGGGATTCCTATGGACATTAAAGTCCAAGAAGTATTAATCTACACATTAGGAAGATCTGGCAGAAAAGGGTTAGAAATGAGAGCAAGAAATGGGAACAGATAGGAAACCGGAATCTCAAGTTCAAAATGGAACCAGCAACTGCACCAACATGGAGCTAAATGAAGAGCTGCTGAATTGAGGTTTTTTGATCTCTCTGATAATGGCTGGGAATTCTCCCAGACTGCATGGCAGGTAAGCTGTTTTTGCCACAATACAGGGGCAAGAATCCCCCTACAAATGTAGGACTATAAGCAATGGAGAAACACACGATGGTGAATTCTTTTTTGAAGCTTGTGACTCAGAGAATAAAGCGCAAGGGCAAGAGG